TTCATCCGTCTAAAGAATGCTTTTCCAGAACTGGTCTGGCTTTTTTAGATGTTTTTTGGCAAAGTCTAATCTGGTTTTTCTATTCTTCAGGCTTATGAATGGTTTGCACCTTGTGGTGAACCCTCTGTATTTGCTCTTGTGACATCTTCTTTTGATTGTAGACTTTGACAATGATACGCCCACCTCCTGGAGAGTGTCCTTCACTTGTCTGGATGTTGTGAATGGGTTTTCCTTTACCATAGAGAGGATCCTCCGATCATCCACCTCTGTTGTCTTCCGTGGACGTCATGCATGCCTTTTTTATGTTGCTGAGCTCACCAGTGCGTTCTTCTTTCCTCAGAATGTTCCAAACTGTTGATGTGGCCACTCCTAATGTTGCTGCTATCTCTCTGATGGATATGATTAATTTTTGAAGCCTTACAATGGCCTGTTTCACTTACATGGACAGCTCCTTTTGAACACATGATGTAGGTTCACAGCAATAGATTCTAAATGCAGATACCACACTTAGAATCTACTCCAGAGCTTTTACCTGCTTAATTGATGAAGAAATAATGGAGTAGCCCACACCTGGCCATGAAACGGCTTTTGATTCAATTGTCCAATTACTTTTGGTCTCTTGAAAAAGGGGGGTGGCTACTCTTTAAGTGCTGTAATTCCTAAACCCTTCCTCCAATTTGGATATACATACCCTCAAATTAAATGTGAGAGTGTTCACTTGCAGCCCATATCCATTATACAACTATAGCTTGAATATGTTTTGGTGAATGCCTGAAATAAACTAAAATTGCCTGTGTCCACAAATATATGGACCTGTGTGTGTGTGTGTGTTTGTGTGTATGTATGTATGTATGTGTGTGTGTGTATCTATCTATATATATATGTGTGTGTGTGTGTGTGTGTGTGTATGTGTATGTGTATATATATATGTGTGTGTGTGTGTGTGTGTGTGTGTGTGTGTATATATATATATATATATATATATATATATATGTATGTATGTATGTATGTATGTACAGTCAGGTCCATAAATATTGGGACATCGACACAATTCTAACGTTTTTGGCGCTATACACCACCACAATGGATTTGAAATGAAACGAACAAGATGTCCTTTAACTGCAGACTGTCAGCTTTAATTTGAGGGTATTTATATCCAAATCAGGTAAACGGTGTAGGAATTACAACAGTTTGCATATGTGCCTCCCACTTGTTAAGGGACCAAAAGTAATGGGACAGAATAATAATCATAAATCAAACTTTCACTTTTTAATACTTGGTTGCAAATCCTTTGCAGTCAATTACAGCCTGAAGTCTGGAACGCATAGACATCACCAGACGCTGGGTTTCATCCCTGGTGATGCTCTGCCAGGCCTCTACTGCAACTGTCTTCAGTTCCTGCTTGTTCTTGGGGCATTTTCCCTTCAGTTTTGTCTTCAGCAAGTGAAATGCATGCTCAATCGGATTCAGGTCAGGTGATTGACTTGGCCATTGCATAACATTCCACTTCTTTCCCTTAAAAAACTCTTTGGTTGCTTTTGCAGTATGCTTTGGGTCATTGTCCATCTGCACTGTGAAGCGGCGTCCAATGAGTTCTGAAGCATTTGGCTGAATATGAGCAGATAATATTGCCTGAAACACTTCAGAATTCATCCTGCTGCTTTTGTCAGCAGTCACATCATCAATAAATACAAGAGAACCAGTTCCATTGGCAGCCATACATGCCCACACCATGACACTACCACCACCATGCTTCACTGATGAGGCGGTATGCTTAGGATCATGAGCAGTTCCTTTCCTTCTCCATTCTCTTCTCTTCCCATCACTCTGGTACAAGTTGATCTTGGTCTCGTCTGTCCATAGGATGTTGTTCCAGAACTGTGAAGGCTTTTTTAGATGTCGTTTGGCAAACTCTAATCTGGCCTTCCTGTTTTTGAGGCTCACCAATGGTTTACATATTGTGGTGAACCCTCTGTATTCACTCTGGTGAAGTCTTCTCTTGATTGTTGACTTTGATACACATACACCTACCTCCTGGAGAGTGTTCTTGATCTGGCCAACTGTTGTGAAGGGTGTTTTCTTCACCAGGGAAAGAATTCTTTGGTCATCCACCACAGTTGTTTTCCATGGTCTTCCGGGTCTTTTGGTGTTGCTGAGCTCACTAGTGCGTTCCTTCTTTTTAAGAATGTTCCAAACAGTTGTTTTGGCCATGCCTAATGTTTTTGCTATCTCTCTGATGGGTTTGTTTTGTTTTTTCAGCCTAATGGTGGCTTGCTTCACTGATAGTGACAGCTCTTTGGATCTCATCTTTAGAGTTGACAGCAACAGATTCCAAATGCAAATAGCACACTTGAAATGAACTCTGGACCTTTTATCTGCTCATTGTAATTGGGATAATGAGGGAATAACACAACACCTGGCCATGGAACAGCTGAAAAGCCAATTGTCCCATTACTTTTGGTCCCTTAACAAGTGGGAGGCACCTATGCAAACTGTTGTAATTCCTACACCGTTCACCTGATTTGGATGTAAATACCCTCAAATTAAAGCTGACAGTCTGCAGTTAAAGCACATCTTGTTCGTTTCATTTCAAATCCATTGTGGTGGTGTATAGAGCCAAAAATGTTAGAATTGTGTCGATGTCCCAATATATATGTTTGGAATCTTTATAATTTTTGGCAATAACATAGTGTGGGTAGATTTTTTGCCAGTCACTGGATGTGTCACGCCCCTCCAATTTGTGTCTTAGAATAAGAGAGAGGTGAAGTCTCCATCAATCTACAAGTAATATCCCACCCCACTGTGCTTAGCTGGTAAGTGGGTATGGAGGAGGAGGGAGGGAGTGGGCTGTCGTTTACCACTGTGTATACACTCACATGTGTGACTCCTTAGTTAAATGGGCTGCTCAGATGTGATAGCGAGAAAATGCTCAGCATAGAAACACACTATGAGCATGAAAAAAAAAAAAAAACCTGAAGTGTAAAGCAGTGCGTAAACTGTAGGCGCTATATAAATCCTGTATAATAATAATATTAGAGAGTGTGACTCTCCCTAACGGGAGCACAAGCTGCAATAAAAACCTGAAAGGTGTTCTAATCCACCTCCATTCTGTCCAAAACTAAAAAAAAAAAAAAAAAAAAAAAGTTTTGCCTTTAGTTCTCCAGGAGGTGGGCGTATCATTGTCAAAGTCTACAATCAAAAGAAGATGTCACAAGAGCAAATACAGAGGGTTCACCACAAGGTGCAAACCATTCATAAGCCTGAAGAATAGAAAAACCAGATTAGACTTTGCCAAAAAACATCTAAAAAAGCCAGACCAGTTCTAAAACTGAGCATGTGCAGAGCTCGCAACACTGCTGTGCAAAATCCCTAGCTGCACTGGGGACTTGGATAGAAGGGGGAGGTAGAGAACAGCAGGATCAACTTTTTTTTTTTTTTTTTTTTTTTTTTTTTTTTAGTGTGTATGAACAACATATATAGCATTTATTGATAGTTTTTTTTTATAATGTGGGTTTAGTGACACTTCAGTGTTTCCCAGTCAAGCAAAACATTTGTTTTTATTGCTTTGGTACATGTACTCCATGGCAATGCCCAGCAAACCATGCCATTTTTTTCACAATGCCTTGCCTGTTCTAGAATATTATTAGAACCATTTTTTTAACATTCAGCTCAAATTGACTTCCATGGGATTAGGATTTAGTCACTTTAGCTGAACCTGCTCACAACAAACTTGGGCATGTTCAGGTCATCGCTATTTCTTACCCTTCCCTAATCTAAAACAAAGAAGAAAATGTTTCGGATATACATAAACTTTAAAGAACTGAGAAGGAAGCCATCAGCTGGTTGCTGTAGGCAACAGTAATGTTATCCCTTTCTCCATTTTTTTTTTTAATGTACAATTTATATTTTAATATGGATTATTATAGTTGGTGCTGTCGCTGTGTATTCACAGGTTGTTTCACAGCTTCTCTGCTTTGTGCAATTACAGCAAGCGTACAATGCTTTTGTGTGTCTCTGTTGACTGAGGATAAAAGAGACCAGCTGCTCTCTGGTAACAGAAGTCTATGGTGAAACGTTAGATTTCAGGGAATGAATACTAGGTGATGTAATCAATTTCTGTTTCTTACTTTCAGCTTTGCACCTGCTCTGAAAACTGTAGGTGCATTTCCACTTCACTGTTCTGGAATCTTGTGGAAGATGACTTTTCTTCCCTTAAGGAATACTGTGCAAATCTGTCAACCAAATTCATATTCGCCCTGCATGTTAATGTGTGTTTATTATGTAAATTGTGAGCACTTAAGGAATCTTTTCCTCTGAGAAAAATGAAGTCTCACTGCTGGCTTCGCATTCTACAAATGCTAGTCGCCTGGCAGTTTTGCTAACCCTCTTGCTTCATTACTTTGAGTCACTAACCTAGAAGAACAAGAAAACAGATTGGGACTTTTGAATTGACATGCTTGTTCTAGGTCAAGAAATAATAAAATCAGGTAATCAACTTAACAATCAGTCAGCTAGCTTGTTTACATCAGGTCAGCAGCAGTGGCAGCCCCTATATTCCCCTTGGGGGATGTTCACTTCCAAGTGGGAGGGATAAGGTAAAGTATACAAAGACACATGCTGGGGGAGCGCGATTTAATAAATGTAAGAGTGTTGCACAGGTTTAAAAATCACTTGTGGACTAATGACTATAAGATCATATACTGATTTGTAAATTCTACTTATCTTACCTATCTATATGTAAGACAGAACAGCCTTTTGCTGAATGGCCATGTGTGCATCACCATGCAGTGTATTATGCTAAGATTTCCAGTTGTGTAATAAATAGAATTTTTAGTCATTGTAAAATTTGTATTTTTTATTTATTTGTGCTAAAATTTACTGGAGTATTCATTTTGTTATTAACAGATCTGTATTCTTATTTATATACATTTTTTAATGTCATTTTAATTTGAATTTCTAGAAAACTGTTTACTCATAGTGATCTCTTTGTTTTTATACAGGGTCATCCCTCTTCAGGAGAGGACATGGAGATTTCAGATGATGAAATGAACACCTCTCCTATCACAAGTGAAGAATGTGCCAAATCCATTGTTGTGAATTCAGCTGTCACTAGTTCTGGCGTTATGACCTCTGTCATATCTATCCTACCTCCTGGTTATCCTCCACTACCCCCCACCACCCCCTCCTCCTCCCCCACAGCCTGGATTCCCCATGCCACCACCTCTCCCCCCACCTCCTCCACCAACTCATCCTTCAGTTACAGTACCCCCTCCACCATTACCCGCTCCACCCGGAGTACCCCCACCACATATGTTGCACCCTCCACCGCCATACCATCAAGGAATGTTCCCTATGATGCAAGGTGACATGATGAGTGCTCTGGGTAATCAGTGGGGAGGAATGTCTATGTCCTTTCAAATGCAGACTCAAATGCTCAGCCGCATGATGCAAGGACAAAACCTTTACCCTTACCACCATTTCATGGGGAATTCCATGCAGTTTGGTAACCAGCATCCATATCGCCCTTTTGCCATGTCCTCCTACCTTTCACGAGGTCAACCTTGGCCACCTTACCCAAAGTTTGACCCTTCTGTGCCACCACCAGGCTATGAACACAAAAAGGAGGATCCACACAAGGCCACAGTGGATGGAGTGCTGCAAGTCATTGTTAAAGAACTTAAAGCCATCATGAAAAGAGATTTGAACCGAAAAATGGTTGAAGTGGTGGCATTCCGGGCATTTGATGAGTGGTGGGATAAAAAGGAGCATCAAGCAAAGGTAGGTATTTAAAGTATATATGATTTTTGAAAGGGTGCTGAAAATATCCTAAATATTGTTGGGCTCTGTTAATTAATTGTACAGGACACATGATCTTAGTCATCTTATTCATGGGTTACATGCAGCTACCTTCAGGTGATTGGATGCTGGCAAAAAAATCTGCAGGGGCATCCCCTATTTAACGTCTCATACTTTCAGCAAGTCTCAGATTTTTGCTAATGTCCCTAGTGTATTTTGTCTGTTGGCGGTGTATTTTGTCTATTAAGAGAAGCTTACCTCATTTATGTGAAGTTTTATATTCTCAATCAACTTTCTAGCTGCAACATAACCATTGCAGCTCTTTACAGCAGCTCTCTGGATCAGTTGACTCCTAGGCTTATCCTTGGGGGACCATACCCAGACCCTGTCTGGAAGAAGATGCGTCCAACCTGTAATGTCACTTTGGAAACTGAATCCTGTGTGGGCACTCATATTGACACATCATGCTGAGCTGAAAGGCGAAGCCATATTGGGACCTAACAAGGTGAGTTGCCTAGGACTTGTGTCTTATCTGGTCCCACTGGGCTGGTGCTCTGAAAGCTGGGTGGCTATAGTGGAGCGTGGGATAAGGCACTTTTAAATGTGTTGCAGCCTTCGAGTGACTTCTTTACAACTGGTGGCATTTTTGGCTCCTTTTACCGCAAGTCTGTCATATCAGGCCACTACTACACTACTGCACCTTTGCTACCTTGATTCCTGTGGCTCCACTGCATATGTACACACCCTTTCCCTTCCTCTTGGTGTGCTCTGTCTCAGCTACAGGTCTCACTTCCGGGGGAGATGGGGTGATAGTCTCTCTACAAAGAGCTCCAGTATCATTTATTCTGACAATTGCTCCAGTCTGATTCCCTACCATCCCTTAAACCTCCTCTAGCCCCTTGGCCGCTTACTCTTCTTCCTTTCTATCTAGAGTGAAGTTTTCTGCCACCATTTCTGATTTTATGGGTAGGATCTCTGTCCTAATAGATGGCATAGGTCACAGAAGTCACAAACAAGTCCCTTCCATTTCTCCTCATATATGGGTCTCTGACTTTTGATCTTGTGGCTGATGCTTGGCCTGAGCAAGAGATTGACAAGAAGGGTTATCCCCTCCTCCACCCAACACACACACTTCTGAGGAATCAAAGCAGGATGAGATGCCTTCTACTAAGATCTTATCAAAGCTTAAGAATAAGATTGCAACCATTATCAATGCAGTACACTCTTGTTTAATGTTAGAGCAACCTAAGTCTGCTGACTCTAAAGCCTACAGCATGGGTCCCTCTAAAATCACCCAAATCTGCTAAGACCTTCCCAGTGCACTCACTTTTATATCCCAGCTTGTACTGAAACTGACCTCACCCTGAAAAACTCTTTGCCATTCCTAAGCATTGTGCTCAGCAATATCCTACCAAGAAGGACTTCCTGCAGAATTGGACAGTCTCTGTTACCCACCCATTTCTTGCCTTAACAAGACTTTAACGATTCATTGTGTTTCATGTGGAGGAAAATTGTGTTCAAGGACTAGCTGGAGAGGTAAGAAGACTTCTCTAAGGCCTTCTTTTCTTTGGCGGGCTCTGTCATGCAGTCTATGGTTGCATTTATGGTGGTCTGGATCTTTTACCCATGGACTTATGCTTTTGTGTGAATGGTTTGGTGGAGTTGCTTCACCAAATCTCCAGGATGAACTTCCTTTCTGTCCATATGCAAAGGATTCTTTGTCTCAAATGCTGGTCCGTGTGAAATAAGCTCTTGGGGGATGGCTTTAGTGGGAACACCTGTATTCTTTTTCCGTAGAAGTACATCAAGGAAATGATGGGGGAAGGGGGAGTATACTTTCTTCCCCATAAAAGCAGTGCTTGTATTCCTGCAGATAGGCTTTCAACTTCTGAGACTAGGAAAAGTTCCTTTTGTCCCTCTCAGGCTGTAAGTCTAAGCCTGTATCACTTTGTTGTCGGAAAACCTGAACCTCCAAGTCAGGCAAAAGTGAATCCAAGCTCCCTTCCCAATGAAGGCGCACCTCTCTACTTTCAGATGTGGATGGGGCGTCTGTCAGGCTTTTTGGCCTTCTGGTCCCAATAAGTCTTAGACGCTTGGGTACCATAGAATGTTTTCCATGAACTGCAAACTGGAGTTTCATTCTTCCTGTTCATGCTCCCAAAATTTCCTCCTTCACCTGCAAAGATCTTCTTTCTGCTATTAAGCAGCTCCTCTATTAGATTATTACTCTAGTCCTTAAATTGGAATGGTCACAGGATTTCTATTTGAGCTTGTTCACTGTTCCCAAGGCAAACCGAGGCATTTGGCTCCTTCTGGATCTGAAAACCATCTTTCCTCCTCACCAATTCTATCCTCATTGTCACCCTTTCCTTTTGGACTGTCCATGGCACTGTCCTGGATCCTCATCTAAGCTTTTTACTTCAGTCTTGGCTCGCTTTGGTTCCAGGGGAAACATGTTGTGGAATACCTGGACAATCTCTTGTTAAAGGACCAGTCCTCCTTAATCCTCTGTCAATGTCTAGCACACAATACTGACTCTAATTAGATTCAACCTTTTGGAGGTAATCACAGGAACCTACTCACCTATTAGAGTATCTGGGTCTGACATTGAATACAGCCCTGTCCAGGATCTTCCTGCCCTGGGGCACACTTCTATCCCCCTGCTCATGTGCCTAGGCCTTTCGGCTCCATGATCAGCTCTGGATTAATTCCTGCCTGAGGGCCTTGGGTTGCATGGTAGCCTCCTTTAAGTTAGTGCTGTATGCCCAGATTCAATCCAGATGTTTGCAACTCAACATTCTGTAAGCGTGGGACAAACAGATTAAGTCCCCTGGGTCTGACCTGGTAGATTTCCAGTCCACTGCTTGAGTAGGGTAAACCTTTTCTCCAAAAGATATGGAAAGTTCTCATTACAGATGCCAGTCTAATGGGTTGGATAGGAGTCATAAATGCCCTCTCAGTGCAGGACAATTCTTCTGTCACTTCAACTCTGGACCTCTCAGCTGTGATGTTACCTGACAATAATTCAGTCATACAATGCCATGGCAGTGAGCTACATCAAAAAAAGCACCAAAAGTTGCACCACTCAAAGAGAAGCAAGCTTGATTCTCACTTGGGAAGTACTGCATATCCCAGGCATGCTGGTCTTTCTCAGGTTTATTAGTTGGTGTTACAAGCCTTTGCCAAACATTGGGGCACTGGATATGGATCTAGTGGCATCCAGGTTCATCACCAAACTAGACGCTGTACACCTTTCCATCTCTAGAGCTTCTGTCTCATCTGATCCACACAATTGAATGGGAGGGCATTCTGGTGATTCTCATTGCAACAGACTGGTCCAGGAGGACGTTTTAGTTACTCAGATTCCTGGCAGACTCTCTGTGGTCGATTGTGGATCATCTAGACCAGACCTTCTGTCCTAAGGGCCAGTCTATCATCCTGCTTCTAGCAGGGCTGTTGAAGCCCATGTCTTGAGGAAAAGGGCCTATTGGATCAGTCAGAGGGAAAATCTCTACCCTAACTGTTGTGTTTCAGAGACTGTTGGCCACTCATTGCTTCGTTAACTTCTTGCTATCCCTGCGAGGCATATATTTGGTAGCCAGAAAGATGGACTTTAACACCCAGCTGCCACACATGTGTCCATGGTAGCATGAAGCTTGCTTGCTGAGAGCTCCAACCTCATTCGATCAAGGCTTCTGATCGGGAGCCAGAAGGGTGGGCTCCCAATCATCTGACTGCTTTGAGATCCTGTCACGTGATACAGAAGCCTATCTGCCTACCAGCATCCCTTTACATAGAAACATAGAGAAGTGACGGCAGTAAAAGATCAAGTGGTCCATTGAGTCTGCCCATTTTTTCCGTTTTTTTTTTTTTTTTTTTGGTTTTGTTTGGTTTCTCCTTTTTTTTGGGGGGGGGGGGGGGGGTGTTAATTTTTTTTGTCGGAGTATAGATCTCTGCTTGTCCCAAGCATGTTTTAAGCTATTTACTGTTGACTGGCTCACTACCTCTGCTGGAAGTTTTTTCCAAGCATCAACTACTCTTTCAGTCAAATAGTACTTTCTGAGATTAGTTTTGTACTTTCCTTCAGTTAGTTTAAGGTCAGTGTTCTTAATTTTGATTTTGTGCTGAAAATCCTGCCCTCTTGAACCTTATTCACCCCTTGATGTATTTAAAGGTTTTAATTGTGTCTCCCCTTTCCCTTCTGTCCTCCAGTCTGTACATGTTAAGTTCCTGAAGTTGATATGTTATACCCCCCAGACCTTTCACTATTTTTGTTACCCATCTCTGGACTCATTCTATGATAGGTTTTATTGCCCAGGAGGCGTTAAGGGGTTAAGGACTCTGTGCAGGGTGTTGTGCATGTTTCTTGTATGACCCTTGCTGGGTTCTTTTTGCCCTTCAGAGGCTGTCCTTCGAACTGTTACACATTTCTTTGTATGACCTTACCCCGGTGTGAAGGATTTTTGAGTTGGCGGCCTTATGTTGTCTATACCCTTTCCTGGTATTACACAAGAAAAAGGTTGCCTTGAGGCTAAAGCCTCTTTTCTCCCTAAAATGGTTTTCTCCTATCTCAACTACAACATTGCCCTTCCCTCCTCCTATCCTGCTGTTAAAGAACCTAAGGAAGTTTCTCTCCACTTTCTCAATGTGGTATGCGTGATGACAGTCTATCTCTCAGCTACAGCCTCAAAATTCATTTCCTTGTTTGTCCTTCCGGAAGGTTCCTGCAGGGGTCTCCCTGCTTCTTGCTTCACTATTGCTAGGTGGATTAGGCAAGTCATTATTCAAGCCTGTGGTCTAAAGGTTAGCGTTCCTCCCCTCCTGTTCAAGGTGTACATCACCAGATTGATTAGAGCTTTATCTGCTTTTCAGCATCAGGTAGCTGTTTCTTAGATTTGCAAGGCTGCCACCTGAAATTCTGTTGACACATCTGTTAAATATTACAAGATGGTTGTTTAGGCTTCTCTCATTCCTTTTTCGGACATAAGGTGTTGCAAACTGCTCTGAGTTCTGTTGAGCCTATTCTTTATCCATTTATTAGCATTTTCAGTTGTGTTGCCCACCCTCGGTTTGACTGCTTTTGGATGTCTCACAATTAAGACTAAGATTCTGTGTCCTCTACTATACGACCAGGAAAATAGGATTTTAGACTGTTAATTGGTTTGACTATTGCTTTCTACAAAGCTGAAGCTAGCTAGGAGTTGGGGGGGTTATATTGGGCATACCCTTGCAATTGTTTGCCAGTGTCCAGGTGCTTGACAGTAACAGCATATAACCCATGGTTAGGACTAAAATCTTGTCTTGTACCGAACGCCAAGAAAGATTTTCCTGGCAAGTAAAAAATCCAGTTTTACTGTACATGTATTTTAATCCTAAGAATAGTTTGTGTGTATCCATGAAAATTATGTAATAGAGTCAAGTAATGCTTATTTAATCTTCTGTTTTGTCATCACTAATAGCAGTCTCTGACCCCTGTAAAATCTGGGGATAACAAAGATGAAGAGAAACCAAAGGCAAAGGAAAAAATACCATTATGTCTGCCAGAAAGCTGGAACAAGGGGGAAGGTCTGGGGTTTGATGGAATAGGAGGATTTGGCTTTGGTCTGCGTGGTACAATCAGACTCCCTTCATTTAAGGTAAATATTTAATTTCATTATTGTTTAGAACTGTGCCTTTTTGAGTGTATAGTGTATCGTAATGTAATACATTGTACATTGCCAATAAAATGCATAATACAGAGTCATCATTTATACATGTCTGCATTGTCAAAAAATATGATTTTATACTATGGATAGTCCGATTTATAGAGGCTTCTCTAAAACTCTTCAGTAGTAGACACTTCCTGGAGTGTCAAATGCATGTGTTCTGTAGTGATATAGAAGTTGGAGGAAGAAACCACAGCATGTGGCAGGGGACACAGGTATCCCCACTCCTGCAAGTGTTGAATATCAGAGCCTTACGGAGACTGCAACAGTGGCATTAAAGGAAGCAGAGGTAGAAGACACAGACCATTGGACAAGTATAATACCTCTTTTTAATGCATTTTAGTCTCATTAGCACTTTTTCTTTTTGTAGAGACTGATAATTTAATGACAGTTTTGTGTAAATATGAAATGGTCTTTGGTGATATTGACATCTTGTTGAAGAGAAATTGAAGCATTTGCACACTGAAATTACATGTAGACTGTTCTGAAAAAAGAAAATCTTTACCAGACATAAAATACAATTAAATATATGACCTGTTAGTGTCTTTTCCTTTATATTATATGGCTAGTCGGGTCTGGATTAGCCAAATTCTACTTCGAAGGTGCGTTCAGAATAACTTGAATTAACACTACAATAGTTTTTGATGTCCCTAAGGATCTGTAAAAAGTCGTAAGTAAACTATTTGTTTAACTTATAAAGGTGAAGAGGAAAGAACCTCCTGAAGCTGCACTTGGGGGAGAACAGAAGAGAATTCGTCCGTCACCTTCAGTAGATGAGGAAGATGAAGGTCTGTGAATACATCAAAATGTGCACAGTTGGCACAGGGTTAAAGCAAATATTTATTCTGTTGCAGATTACCATTTTTTTTTAGATGTGATGGCTGCATTTATTTTCTTTTTTAGACTTTCATCTATTTTCACCTGGTAATCCAGCCAGTAAGTCTGTTGTTTTTCAAAAGTACAAACTCTCCAGCAGAATGTATCTGCTACAGAGATCAGTAAACCATTTGACAATGTCAGGAATTAGCCAGTTAGCAATAATTGGCTCTCATGTATTTATGTAAAACCTTTATTCCAAAAGGAAAAAATGTTTGCTGTAACTGCTTATAAAGTATTAGTTGGATTTTGGCTTTAATTTATTACTGTATTTAAATCTGCTAGTTCAACTGACACTCCCCTCCCCTCAGACTAACCATGTTGCTGTCAAAAGGCCCCAGACTCTGAGCACTGTAATACAGTAGGAGTGTTACTGGCCAGATCACCAGGTGAAAGCAAAGGGAAAAAGCCCCCCTCCCAAAAAAAGGAAAACTGGTGCAGCGACCACATCTGATTGGTAAGCTGCAATAGACATATTCAATATTTTGTTTTGGGTTTAATGCCAGTTTAAATTTTCCAATTAGTGTGTTTTTCTACTTTAGGTAAATTTTTATTAGAGTGTCAGACATTTCTATGTAGGAGAGTACATATATGAACAGTACACTGTGACTGCAAAAGCTGTGATAATCTGTAACATGGTGCCTTATTTGAACATTGTAGAAACTTTCAGATATACAGGAAAATAGATTGAAGGTATGTTAGCAACATCTTGGATGTATTAGTGCATTCAGCTATATGCAAGTTTGGAGAAGATAATGATCCATATAGGAGGCATAGTCTGTTGTAAGAAGGAGTAAAAGAAAAGAGCTGAAGAGCCCCCCTGGTAAGAGTATACAAGAGCGAAAAGAGTAGAAATGTAGCGGTGAATGAGTTAGCTTGGCGGAAAAGAAAAGGTGAGAAACCAGATCAAGGTAAGGACCAAGAGCAGGATCTTGGGAAAGTGTGGGGGTGCAGATGGAGGAAGATAAGAGGAAGGTGACATCAAAAGTTGATGGAGAAACTTGGGGTTCTCCTCCTGCAGGCCAGAATAGCTTACCAAAGGCATTGAAGGGTGAGTGTTTTGTATCCAAGGAGACCATACCGTGAGGAACTTCTTATGAGTGCCTGGAAGGGTACTCATGATTTTTCAGATAATAAATAACGCATCGATGCTCCAATGGACTTCTGTAAAGCAAGTCATTTGTGTTATCCAGGCTTATGCTATGATGTGCTTTGCCATTAGTATAAAATATGCTGCTAATTTCAGTTGAGTTTTGGTGAGGGCTGGGGGTTTAAGGTGAACAAAGAGAGTCTCTTGGAAAGGGACAATTGAAGAGGGTTTGGAAAAGTTTAAGGTCTTTCGTCCAAACCTCATGAGCATGGGACATGTCCACCAGATGTCTAAGACATCTCCTGAGAAAGTGCAGCCACAAAAGCTTACATTGGTAAGGGATGGGTTGAGATGTGCTAATCTAGGTAGGACCATGTACCATCTCATAAAAGTTGTCAAACTGTCCCTTGTAAGAGCAAGTAGCATTTCAGCTATTTTGCAAGAGAGCTGGTGAAGGGGTTTTTTTTTTTTTTTTTTTGCCTGAAACTACAGCTGAACATTTGTGGGTAATTCCCATGGAGGTATTTGGGTTGGGAGGAGGTAGAGTTTCTTACAGGCACATAATGTTAGCATGGCATGAAGTGTAAAAATTCACAATGGACATGCATTTACAGACGGAGTTAAAACCCTGTACGTTGTGTTAAGTAATGGTGAACTTTGATGAAACCATCATGGGGGTTAGAAAAAAGGACGCTACACTTAAAGGCCCTGGGTCTTCCTTATGTAGAGATCAAATGAAGTAACGGGTTGGCAAGAAAAAAAAGGCAGAAGAAACATAAAAATAAGAGCAAAATTCTTTAAAAAGCAACCAACAACAAATTGCCAAGGCAAATAGCAGTGGTGCATTTGAGACAGAACCATAGTGTGAGGATCACCAGTACTGTCTGGGTGTGCGGTTGGTTGCATGTAGACCTGAGAGGTGAAGGGAAGGGGGAATGGAGGGGGTAAGGGGAAGTTAGGAATATGGGAAAATGAGGGGAGGGGGGCAGGGAAGAAATGGGATTAGGAAAAAGGATATGATAAAGACGAGTATGCCATATGCCTTGTAATAAAGGCAATATACGCATATAACTTTGCTAATAGCTAAAATGTATATTTAAAGAACAGATATATTGTAAACAAAAGAAGACCGTCATTAACCCATGATGACCAGAGGCAAGGGAGTAAAAGGTATCTACAGTGATATTGCCAAGAATCTCTATGAATGCAAACTATATAGTTAGTCATATCTGAAGAGGAAATCAAGTATTTTGCCATGGTGGCTACAAAGGATGGTCACAGTCCCCAAAATAAACATTAGGGCAGTGATTCCGAGGATGTAAGGGGAAAAAAAGCAGGGAGGGGGATAGGTAGATCAAAGCTGAAGGTAGAACAATTACTAAATCATTCTATGTGGTGTAAAAAACTTTTAACTCAAAAGTTAACAAAAATAACAAATAGTTTCCAACCGCAAAACAGGATCTCTAAAATACTGAGGATCTTGGGAGAACAGGTAAATGGAGGAAAGTTTGGAGAGGAGAGGTCAGTCTCCTGCTGGGATACTGGGTCGTGGATCAAAGCGTGTTGTCTTCACAGTGCGATTTTGTCTCTGGGGTAGAGGTTCCTAGAAGGGAATTAAATATGGTGGTGAATTGTGTAGAGAAGACTGGGAGTTTTGTGAATTAGTATTGAACGCTGTGGCAAGTTTCAAGCATTCAAGGACCTCACAGGCTTCCTCTGGTGAAGAGAACGAGTATGGTTACTGTATAAGAAAGACAGCTTAAGAGGAAAAACCCTATCAATTCTAAATTCTGTGGTTCTGTTGGATTTTTATGTACAGTTTTTGAGCTCTTTTTTTTTTGCCTCTGCAGGGCAGGTCAGTGAAAATCTGGTATTTGTGAGATTGGAAGGTCAAATCTCTCTTAGACCAGACCGCTTGCATAATGGCCTCTTTGGTCTTGTAGAAAGTAGGTTTTACTATATTGTCATGTAGAGGACCTTCTGACCTCTTAGGGCCTAGGGCTCTATGGATATGGTCAAATTCCAAACGTTGCACCAGAGCGTTCAGAATGAGTTCCTGTAGTAGAGCAGTGACAGTAGAGTTGAGGTGTTCTGTGAATTCTGGAAGACAACAGATTCTGTAGTTTCCTCATATGCTGCAGTTTTCCAGATCCTCTAGTTTGGACATGGCAGTTGAGAGGTTGATAGTGAGAGTGTTAATGGCTGTCATTGACAGGGATTGCATCATCCAATTTATGCTTCAAGTCATCGATTCGGGCTCTCAAGTCTCTTATCACACATGTTAGTAGGAAAGTAAGCTTCTCCGTGGATACATTAAGTTCTTCTTTTTTTGAAGAAGAAGTTTAAAGTGGCTCTAAAGACTAGGCATTTTTTAACTTATTGCATTCCTTGCATTAAGGTAAAAAAGTCTCACTTGTTGTATCACCCCCTTGCCACCCTTTATACTTGTCTCAATCTAGTACTGTGCCTGTCTCCAGCTGCGTTTGTCTGTGATCCTCTCTTCACAGGCTGCACTGATAGCAGCGGGACCCATTGACTCCTGGTGCTGTCAAACATATCCTATAGAGGAGGGAGCGGGGGTGAGGACAAGCTGCATTGTATGAGTCTGTAAACGCACACTGCCTGGCTCGGGAGCAATTGGGGACCCCAGAAGAGGAGGTTTGGGACTGCTCTGTGCAATACTATTGCACAGAGCAGGTAAGTATAACATGTTTGTTATTTTAATAAAAAAATATCCCTTACAACTGCTTTAAACGTTTCTGGAAGAGTGGAATCTCAACAGGTCACCCCAATGGATCATTCAACTGTGCTGCAAGTATGCTATCACTTGAAGATTTGGCAAAGTTGGTTATCCGTTTCTGATGTTGGTGTTGCTCAGTTGAGGGTTGTGAGATAATAGCTTTCACCTAAAGACATTTGTCAGTTGTCCTTTTGCTCATTTTCGGAGGAGCTGTGGCTGAGTTTTTTTCTCATGATTCCTTGTGCTGTGAGGTTGAACTAATATATAGAAGCTGTTTTAAATGTTTTGAATACAAGTAGTAATGAAGATTAAAAAGAAAATGGTTCACCCCACGGGTTGGGGAGGTTTGAGGATTGATTAAAGAGGAATTCGAGCTTGGGGCTTGTATGTAGAAACGTGTTAATGGGATATGTATCTTACGGTAAAAAGCAGACACGGCTATCGGAGATGTCAAGTAGCGAAATATGTTGCAGAGTTTAATGAACAATATTGATGTCCCACTTGGTTAGGGATGTGCTGCTTGTTTGCTGACAGAATTCAAAGGTTTTCACACTTGAGGATTATATTGCAAGGGCGAGACACATTGGAACACTGAGGACAACGCATAAAGGCTTTAAAAGCCTCAAGCAAGCAAGTCCCTGTGTAGTGAAGAAGGTATGTCGCCAGCAGTAATCGAGGTCCCTCAGAGAAGTATGAAATGTGTTTCATTTGTTGAGGGATGAGGCTGTGGCTAAGATTAGTAGTGTGACTATGCTCAAGACAACACAGGAGAAATAAGAGATTGTGTTTCAAATCCAGTGTTGTAGATATCCCTGTAATAATGATGGCTATGTCAGAGTTGTCAAAAGGGTTAGACGAGATGATGAGGCAATCGTTAAGAGTTGTGAATAATTCCTGAAGTTCCAGGGAACAGAAAAATAGAGCATTACGTTAGGTCTGTAGTGCCAAGATCAGTAATGAAAGTTCTACAGAAGAGTCCCCAGTATGTTTGGCTGGGTATTGCCTTTTAGGTTCTGGTGGCCAAAGGCTGCCCAATATGGTTTCTGGTAAGACAGACAGAGGAAATGTGCCTTTATCGAGTC